CCAGCATTCCGTGTCTGGCACGACAATGGTATTAAGTCTATCAGCGATCTTTACAAGGATGGAGTATTTTCCTCATTTGAACATCTCTTGACCGAATATAGTCTCCCGCGTCATCATCTTTTTCGCTTCTTTCAGATAAAAAACTTTGTCAAAAAGCTGTTTCCACATTTCCCGAATCGTCCTCCAGAGACTTTTTTAGATACACTCCTCTCTACTAATCCTGTTGCGAGGGGATGCATTTCAGCTCTATATAAAGATATTTGGTGGGAATCTTCTGTCTCGCTTAATGCAATCAAGAGTGTCTGGGAGGAGAGTCTTGACGTTAAGTTTAGTGAGCAACAGTGGACTTCTGCTTTGTCCCTTATTCACTCCTCCTCCATTTGTGCTTGCCACCGACTGATTCAGTGTAAGGTTTTTTTTAGGGTTCACTATACTAATGCTAGGCTGTCCAGGATCTATCCCTCAGTTAGTGATGCCTGCAACAGATGCAAAGTGTCTCCGGCAAATCATGTTCACATGTTCTGGTCGTGCTCAAAGCTTGGGCCTTTTTGGGCCTACGTCTTTGACACACTCTCTAGGGCCTATCGCAATAACATCGCTCCAAATCCTTTGTCTGCAATTTTTGGCATTCCTCCCATTTCTAGTTGTCCTAAACCTCTTAGTCGTGCCCTGGCGTTCACAACACTGTTAGCCCGCAGGTTGATTCTACTAAATTGGATTTTTTGTACATACAGAATGTAAAGTTGAACTTCTATGGTTATATCTTGATTGTACTGTATGTCGGGTTTTATTGTTAAAAATGTTCAATAAATAAAGTTAAAGGTCAAAAAAAAAAAAAAAAAAAAAAAGTGACATCTGTATAATACAATCGTTCTGTTGTAACATATTATCTCAACTTCATTCATTCTATTCATTCTAGTAAACGTGGTCAGAGAAAGCAATCATTTGTTCCGAGTTGTGATCATTTATCCCCAAGTCCTCATCCTCAACTACAATTTCCGAGGAATTGCTTCCAGGACTGTGCATCAATATATATATATATATCTCTTCAGGTGGCCAAAGGAAGAGATTCAGACCACGGATGTTAAAACTCGAAAGCTCCTCACCATGCATGGCGGGTTCCATCCCAAATCCAGCACCCTGAGACCAAGGGCGTAGGTTTGCGTGGGGACCATGGGGACATGTCCCCACCAATATATGGTGAGGACTAAAAAGTCCCCACCAAAATGACATGATGTCCCGGGACCCGGACGGTCCGGGACACATGTCTTCCGTTTGTGCACACGTCGCGCCTCCTCCTCGCCTCCAGAGCAACAGCAGCAGCAGCAGCACGTGACCCGTTCCGTTCTCTGCAGTGATTGGCTGTCTTCTTCAGCGTCAAAATGAAGCACTGAGCGACTGTTTAATTTTTAAAAGTTAGCCAGCGTGAAGCAAGTGTTTTTTTTTCGTTCCCTGAGCGTTGTAGCACGTGAGTAATCAGAGGAAAGTACTGTAGATCTATTACCATTCAAAGTACTTACGTTATTTCTAATCTGTCAGCGCACTGTTTAATGTTCCGAGGAGCTCACACGGCACAGAGACAGAACAGAACTGGCTCCAATAAAGAAACAGTTGGTTGAAAGGCTGAAAAAATACTTATTGTGCTCTTACTATCCAAAATGTATAAGTGGGTGTGTTGTGTGAATCAGGATAAACTAGGGATGAAAATATTCCACGGATCCACGATTTACAACCCTTATCTGCTGATAATGTAATTTCTGTGAAATGTGTGACAGCGGGCGCACTTGCTGTTATTTGCTCTAAGCACATTCAAGCGATGCACTCGAATGTGCACGTCCTGGTGCAGCTGCTGCCGCTTTGTAATGACAGCCGCGGCGCTCAGTGAAAGCACAGCTCTAACATGGTACCGAGCTCGGACCATATGCAGACAGAACCATGTTGCAAGTGCGGGTCTCCCTCGTATCTCCCCCGTTTCTCCCCTGTGTCTCTGACATGTCTCTCCCCTGACTCTTCCCAAAGCGCAACCAGCGCTCCCGAAATTAAAGCTCGGATACCTAAATTTTCCATTGCGTTAACGATGCATGCTGGTTGTGCGCAAAACACACCACAACAGGTCATTTAAGTTTTTATTTTGCATACTTGAGAGCCCTGTGAGTCATTACTTGCCTTTTTGGGTTGAGAGTGGAATAAAAAAAAAGAAAATATAGAAAAATCCACACTGTTACTTATTGCCAAACTCTTGTTAACTCATTGTATTGAGAAATACTATGTAACTTTTGACATTGGCCAAGTTATATAAATGATTCTGCAGTTCATGTATATGAATGTCTGTTTTTGATTTTCTATACCTTCTTATATAATTTAGAAAAAATGCCACCTCCACAAAAAAAGATAAAAGATATCAGGAGCTTTTTTAACAGTTGGAAAGTAAGTAAGAGAAAGCACAAGTAATAGCAAATTATGAATTGTGATGATTAATCTTCTGTTAACATACATAGGAAACTCAACCAACAAGAGAGAACAATATAGGGAATGTTGAGGTAGAAGCAACAGGCCCTTCAGTGCATCAGGCGAGGTTGGAATTTTGTAGGTATGCATGGGACTATGAATTGTTTTTAGAGATTGATCGTATATGTCAAACAATGTAGTGAGCTACTCACTGTAGATTCTAATTCAATATTTTCTCCTCTGTTTTTATTTATTATAGGAAATTGAAAGATCAGAGCATGATTTATTTCAAGTATCGAGAGCAGTTCCTGAACTGTTAGAGCCTCAGGTGAGGGCTATTATGTAGATTTGGATTAGGTTTAAGTCAGTATAGAATGAACGCAACACAAAACTCAGAAGCTCTGATCCAATTGATTTTGTTTTAACTATTAGAAAAAATCCTTAACTGCTTCTCATTCAGTCTACAGCTGAGTTTAGTATAGAAGGCAACACACTATTGCAAATATAGTGTGTGATTACACAACAAATTCTGGGGGAGAAACTCTGGACCCCGTGTCAATGGGTGTAGACTCAGGTCGTAGTGAATGTCCCCACCAAGATTGGAACCAAACCTACACCATTGCCTGAGACTGTACGTAAGCCGTAAAGAAGGAGGCCGAGGACTAGTGAGTGTGAGAGCCACTGTCCAGGACCAAACATCCAAACTCCATAACTACATCATGGAGAAGGCCAAAACGGATGACGTACTCAGTGAATGTCTCAGGCAGTGGCGAGATGAGGAGGTGCTGGAGGAGAGCCCATCATGGGAGAACAAGCCCCTACACGGCATGTACCACCGGAGCATAACAGAAGTGGCTGATCTCAAGAAGTCCTACCAATGGCTAGAAAGGGCTGGCCTACAGGACAGCACAGAGGCACTCATCATGGCTGCACAGGAACAGGCACTGAGCACCAGAGAGGCCCAGATATACCACACCAGACAAGACCCAAGGTGTCGGTTGTGCAAAGAGGCACCTGAGACGATCCAACACATAACTGCAGGGTGCAAGATGCTGGCAGGGAAGGCCTACATGGAACGCCATAACCAAGTGGCTGGCATAGTGTACAGAAACATCTGTGCAGAGTATGGGCTGGAAACCCCAAGGTCTAAGTGGGAAACTCCTCCAAAGGTGGTGGAAAATGAGCAAAGATCCTGTGGGACTTCCAGATACAGACCGACCGAATGGTAATGGCAAACCAACCTGACATTGTGGTGGTGGACAAAGGGCAGAGGACAGCCGTGGTGGTAGACAAAGGGCAGAGGACAGCCGTGGTGGTGGACAAAGGGCAGAGGACAGCCGTGGTGGTGGACAAAGGGCAGAGGACAGCCGTGGTGGTAGACAAAGGGCAGAGGACAGCCGTGGTGGTGGACAAAGGGCAGAGGACAGCCGTGGTGGTGGACGTGGCAATTCCAAGCGATGGTAACATCCGGAAAAAGGAACATGAAAAGCTTGAGAAATACCAAGGTCTCAGAGAGGAGCTGGAGAGGGCCTGGAGGGTAAAGGTCACAGTAGTGAGAGGGCCTGGAGGGTAAAGGTGACAGTAGTGCCCGTGGTGATCGGTGCACTCGGGGCAGTGACCCCGAAGCTAGAAGAGGTTACAGCGGATCCCTGGAACAACCTCGGACATCTGGGTCCAGAAATGTGCAGTGCTAGGAACAGCAAAGATACTGCGCAGAACCCTCAAGCTCCCAGGCCTCTGGTAGAGGACCCAAGCTTAGAGAGGGATAACCGCCCACGGAGGGCCAAAGGGTTTATGGTTTGTGAATAACTGTGGATCTGAAACAACACGACCAATGGGATCGTTTGGAATGGACCATATGTGTTTTGGTAAGAACTCTGTGATGTCAGAGGATGGACCATGTGTGTTTATGGTGATGACCTGCGCCCCGATGGACCATGTGTGTTTATGGTAATGACCTGCGCCCCGATGGACCATGTGTGTTTATGGTAATGACCTGCGCCCCGATGGACCATGTGTGTTTATGGTAATGACCTGCGTCCCGATGGACCATGTGTGTTTATGGTAATGACCTGCGCCCAGATGGACCATGTGTGTTTATGGTAATGACCTGCGCCCAGATGGACCATGTGTGTTTATGGTAATGACCTGCGCCTTGATGGACCATGTGTGTTTATGGTAATGACCTGCGCCCAGATGGACCATGTGTGTTTATGGTAATGACCTGCGCCCAGATGGACCATGTGTGTTTATGGTAATGACCTGCGCCTTGATGGACCATGTGTGTTTATGGTAATGACCTGCGCCCCGATGGACCATGTGTGTTTATGGTAATGACCTGCGCCCAGATGGACCATGTGTGTTTATGGTAAGACCTGCGCCTTGATGGACCATGTGTGTTTATGGTAATGACCTGCGTCCCGATGGACCATGTGTGTTTATGGTAATGACCTGCGCCCCGATGGACCATGTGTGTTTATGGTAATGACCTGCGCCCCGATGGACCATGTGTGTTTATGGTAATGACCTGCGCCCCGATGGACCATGTGTGTTTATGGTAATGACCTGCGCCCCGATGGACCATGTGTGTTTATGGTAATGACCTGCGCCCCGATGGTGCTGATGATGTAACCTCGCTCTTCGTCACTGATGCGTTTGTGAGTCCGAGGGTCGTCCGCCACGAGAGCGAACCAGAAAACAGCCCACAGACACCCGCCGCCACCTGGTCCGGGACATACAGACACCCTGTTAGTCCCACTGAAATGTCAGTGTTGCATCACATGGTGCAGGACCATAAGTGAACATGAAATATAACTCAAATATATATAAATATTCCCTGGTCTTAGTTTATACAATCACATAAAACTAATGTATTCATGAATGTTATAATCTATAGATACATGAATACTATACTATAGGTATATACAGTGCCTTGCAAAAGTATTCGGCCCCCTTGAACCTTTCAACATTTTGCCACATTTCAGGCTTCAAACATAAAGATATAAAACATATTTTTGTTGTTTTGTTGTACATAATTATTGTCACTTTATTGTACATATATCCTGCATGTAACATGTTTGCACATTTCCTCCCTTTGCACAATCTGTTCTATCCATGCCAAATGTGACATGTAAATTTCTCCTCTGTGAGATAAATAAAGCAATCTTATCTTATCTTATTTTTTTGTCATGAATCAACAACAAGTGGGACACAATCGTGAAGTGGAACAAAATTTATTGGATAATTTAAACTTTTTAACAAATAAAAAACTGAAAAGTGGGGCGTGCAATATTATTCGGCCCCCTTTACTAACCCTCCTAACCCTAACACCACACTAGAACCACACACTCTAGAACCACACACACTAGAACCACACACTCTAGAACCACACACACTAGAACCACACACTCTAGAACACCATACTAGAACCACACAAACTAGAACACCACACTAGAACCACACAAACTAGAACACCACACTAGAACCACACAAACTAGAACCACACACTCTAGAACACCACACTCTAGAACACCACACTCTAGAACACCACACACTAGAACACCACACACTAGAACACCACACTCTAGAACACCACACTCTAGAACACCCCACACTAGAACCACACACAGTAGAACCACACACTCTAGAACACCACACTCTAGAACACCCCACACTAGAACCACACTCACTAGAACTACACCCTCTAGAACACCACCCTCTAGAACACCACCCTCTAGAACCACACACTCTAGAACCACACACTCTAGAACACCACACTTTAGAACCACACACTCTAGAACCACACACTCTAGAACCACACACTCTAGAACCACACACTCTAGAACACCACACTCTAGAACACCCCACACTAGAACCACACACAGTAGAACCACACACTCTAGAACACCACACTCTAGAACACCCCACACTAGAACCACACTCACTAGAACTACACCCTCTAGAACACCACCCTCTAGAACACCACCCTCTAGAACCACACACTCTAGAACCACACACTCTAGAACACCACACTTTAGAACCACACACTCTAGAACCACACACTCTAGAACCACACACTCTAGAACCACACACTCTAGAACACCACACTAGAACCACACACTCTAGAACCACACACTCTAGAACCACACACTCTAGAACACCACACTCTAGAACCACACTCACTAGAACTACACCCTCTAGAACCACACACTCTAGAACCACACACTCTAGAACACCACACTTTAGAACCACACACTCTAGAACCACACACTCTAGAACCACACACTCTAGAACCACACACTCTAGAACACCACACTAGAACCACACACTCTAGAACACCACCCTCTAGAACACCACACTAGAACCACACTCGCTAGAACCACACACTCTAGAACACCACACACTCTAGAACCACACACACTAGAACACCACTCTAGAACACCACACTCTAGAACCACACTCACTAGAACCACACACTCTAGAACACCACCCTCTAGAACACCACACTTTAGAACACCACACTCTAGAACACCACACACTCTAGAACCACACACTAGAACCACACACTAGAACACCACACTAGAACACCACACTAGAACCACATTCTAGAACACCACACTAGAACCACACACTCTAGAACACCACACTCTAGAGCACCACACTCTAGAACGACACACTCTAGAACCACACACTCTAGAACACCACACTCTAGAACACCACACTAGAACACCACACTCTAGAACCCCACACTAGAACACCACACTCTAGAACCACACACTCTAGAACACCACACTCTAGAACACCACACACTCTAGAACCACACACTAGAACCACACACTAGAACACCACTCTAGAACACCATACTAGAACACCACACTAGAACACCACACTAGAACCACACACTCTAGAACACCACACTCTAGAACCACACACTCTAGAACACCACACTCTAGAACACCACACTCTAGAACACCACACTAGAACACCACACTCTAGAACCCCACACTAGAACACCACACTCTAGAACCCCACACTAGAACACCACACTCTAGAACCACACACTCTAGAACACCACACTCTAGAACACCACACTCTAGAGTGAACAGTGTGGGCAAAGATGAAGAGGAATTTTTCTCTCAACAAGAGGTAGAAGACCCAGTACCATATGTGTAGAAAACCCTGTACCATGTATGCAGGAGACCCAGTACCATGTGTGTAGGCTCTCACCGCAGAGGTAGAAGACCCAGTACCATGTGTGTAGGCTCTCACCGCAGAGGTAGAAGACCCAGTACCATGTGTGTAGGCTCTCACCGCAGAGGTAGAAGACCCAGTACCATGTGTGTAGGCTCTCACCGCAGAGGTAGAAGACCCAGTACCATGTGTGTAGGCTCTCACCGCAGAGGTAGAAGACCCAGTACCATGTGTGTAGGCTCTCACCGCAGAGGTAGAAGACCCAGGGCCAGCCCAGGGTGTCACAGATGAAGCCGGTCAGAGGCAGAGCCACGAAGGCCCCAAAGTTGGCCCCAGACCCAGAGAACGTCATGAGTCGAGACCGCTCCAGAGGAGGAGCCCAACGAGCCCAGATCGCCATCATCGCCGGGAACGTCACGCCCTGCACCAAAGACCAGACTCAGACCACAGCAGATAGACTCAGACCACAGCAGACTCAGACTCAGGCCACACTCAGGCCACACTCAGGCCACACTCAGGCCACACTCAGGCCACACTCTGACCACACTCTGACCAGACTCAGACCAGACTCAGACCAGACTCAGACCACATAAACCGTACCTCTCCGAACCCCTCCAGAGCCCTGAGTGCGAACAGCCAGTGCTGGCCCCACTGCGCTGCCAGGGGGGTGAGCAGGGTCAGAGCCGCGGTGCCCAGGACCCCCACCCCCAGGAACTTGGTCCCTCCGTAGTGACCGGCCAAGTACCCCCCGGGGATCTGAGTGCAGAGATACCCGAAGAAGAAGGCCCCCAGGAGCCAGCCCTGGACCTTGGAGTCCCACTGATACACAGGCGCCTGCAGAGACCCACGGACACTCTGCATTCACTACAATATTTATACATTTGTGTTTGGGGACAGAGAGAAAGGAGACAAAACTCATTATTTGGCTCTTTGTGCTGAAAGCTGATTGGTCCGTTCCCTTCTTCTCGTTTCTATAACTAAAGTGCTGTTTAAAGGCTTTGCAAAAAATATGCCTATGTTACAGTCTCGAAATTTCTACAAAAAATGCGACTACGTAATTATCGCTCCTCGCTCTCTAACCCTAAGTTTACATTTTGGTCTCTTTGTCCAATAGTGACTGTTTCTTACACGTACTGGTTCAATCACAAAACTATAGTTTTTCTTTTGAGACAAATCACATGAATTATTTCAGTGATTAGGAAGTGACTTTAATCTTGGAAATTTAAATCACAATGGTCGATCTTTGTCCTGGTTTTAGCCAAAGACTTTCTTGTCCTTGAGCCCAGGGGTCTCAGCTGTAGGAGCTACTATTCTTTCCTATTGTGTGTTTTAAGTACAGATCTGTAGAGTAATGCACGGTGCTGTACGGTACAATGGTATATTGGTCCATGACTGACTGTAGTTAATAAATAAACTACAGCTAAAAGGAGCAGCTCTTTGCTTCTTTCTGTTTTGTAGAATCAGCTCCAATGGAAAAGGTCGGAGATGATCAGGGAGATAAACATCGACATAATTCAACCAAATCAGTAAAAATCTCACCCCGTCCTTGGGAGAGAACGGCGAGCTCTGGTTGGTCTGTGGCACAGGACACACGTGTTTGCTGGAGTTGGAGATGTTGGTTGCCGGGTCGGTCTCTGTGTTGTTCACCATGGCAACCATCGCCACGCTCAGGTTGACGCGGAGACCGTAGACCACGGCGAAACCGAAGAACATGAGCACGGCCAGGTTCAGCCGGGACGAGCAGCAGTAAGGGGGCGCTGTCGAGTCACAAGCAAAGAGCAGACTACACCATTGGAGACTTTAGAGAGAAAGTAAATACAATGGTAGTTTATTTAATGACCACAGTCAGTCACGGTGGACACTCGTATAACACTGTCCTGCAGCGAGGACAAGTTCATAATTCAGATACATTTATAGTTTATAGTTTATCCAGAGTGAATCATTCAGGATCATGAGTTATGTTCTTGAATCCTTTGATTGTGGCTTGTGCTCAGTGGCTCATGGGCGTTATTATAATAGATCCATGATCATGGGACTTCACGGGGACCAGAAGATTAGCAGAACTCGCCCATATTTGGGCATCGTCTGGTCCTCCCGGTTCTATGCAGTGGACGACCTCCCATGATGCGTTGCGCCAAATACGTGTGTGTGGGTCTCATGCACGTGCACAGAGGGGCTCGGCCGCGCTCTGACCAATCAGAGCTGATCAGAGCGGCAGCAGGGCGGAGTCAGAGCGGGAAGGAAAGGAGCAGAGTTTGTGGCAGTAAAGTGTGGATTTAAAGAAAAATCCCCACAAAATACAACCTTTATAAGGTTCTGTGTCAGGTTCTGTGTCAAGTTCTGTGTCAGGTTCTGTGTCACGTTCTCTGACAGGTTCTCTGTCAGCTGAGGTCGAGCTGTTTTAGTTCACAGTGAGTTCTATGGGACTATTTGTCTGGGTAGCCCACGTGGGTTCAGTCTGCAGTACCACAGCGCCCCCTGTGGCAATGGGTGGGACAGTTATACGCTATAATACTATATCCAGATGTTATTATTGATCCATGACTATACTTCACACATTCCGATCCTCGGTACACACCTGTGTGGAGCGGCAGCAGCAGCTCGCAGTCCTCCTCCTCCTCCTCCTCCTCGGGGGGCGCTGTGTTGATGGAGCAGCCATTTTGAAGCGGCATTTTTCAGATCGAGTCTAGTTTAGGATCAGGTCAGTGCGGCCTCTGCGGCATCTGCGAAGGAAAATTCACTCAGTACTAGGTCTGTGTGTGTCTCTATATGTGTGTGTGTGTGTGTGTGTGTGTGTGTGTGTGTGTCTGTGTGTCTTATCAGTGGGGTCGGGTCCCGGCTCAAAAGTGGCCAAAATGACGTGCGCCGACATGCTGCAATACCACCCCGGGCCAATGGGGGTGGACCCGGAAGTAGAATTAGCCAATGCTAACATATAGCATCTTCTTACCCCTGGAAAACGTCTTTACAGGATGGTCCAAAAGTTGTCTCTTGGCCCAAAGCTCCGTTCCACATGTGTGTCAATGCTGAGTGTTCTGGACCAGTCTAGTTTAGTCGCTGTGGACTTTAGAAGTCTCTCGTTTAAATTAATGGAGCTGCGCCGGCTGACGCATGCGCAGATGCGATTTT